ACATTTGTTGGCAAGGTGATGTCTCTGTTTCCCCATTTATTTTTAACCCGAATGATCCGCTGGATCAACCTGTTCTTCCCTGTGAGCACCTTAATTTCCACTGCATGATCAAAGTATGTATGCTTGCTCTCTGTGTTTTGTGTGTTGAATGCTTGCGTGTATGTTTTATGCTTCTATAGGTTTTTAAACTTCATTCCTTTGCTTTGGGACTTCTTCACTGGCCACTCTTTTGAGTCAGGAAATTCTTAGCATCCTGTGATTGGTATTTCAGATGTTTCTACTTTTTGGAATTGTTTGTTTGTTTGTTTGTTTAACTTATATGCCGCCCACTCTACCCAAAGGTCTCTAGTTGCCAGTGTTAAAAGTCCACAATTCCATGTTATGCTGTATTTATTTATTTAAAATCCCCCTCCCCCTGTTTTCTCCTTAAAAAGGACTCAAAGTGGCTTACATAATTGAAATACAATATTTATAGCCTGAAAAAGGAAGTATACAAATATTTAAAAGGATTAAAGAAATACTATAGGAAAAAATCTGTAAACCATACCAACTCCAGAAACACATTCAAAGCAATAAAGGCACAACAGTGCATTAAAAAAATAAATCCCACTCAGGCAAGCCAGTCATTATAAAGGAAAGCTTGCCGGAAGGGAAAGGTCATGGCCTGCTTGGGGAAGGACAGCAAAGATGGGGCCAGCCGGGCCTCCAGCGGGAGGGAGTTCCAAAGTCTCTGGGAGCAGCCACAGAGAAGGCCCTCTCCGGTGTCCCCCACCAGATGCGCCTGTGAAGATGAAGGCGGTGGGGGACCCAGAAAAAGGCCTCTCTTGATGATCTTAACACTCAAAACAGGCTCATAAAGGGAGACACTGAGATCGCTTGGACCCAAACCATTTAGGGCTTTATAGGTTAGAACCAGTAGAAATGAGTATACATACCAAGGTCCCATGTGCATTCCCAAAGCTAATTTCATTTCATATATTAAATTCTTCATCTTAAGGAAGCTGCTCCCCGGGATGATTTCAAGAGGGGATGAAATGGACAGTCAGTGGAAGAAATGTCTGTCAATAGACAAGCGATTATTCCTGCCCGATGGCAGCTGACTTGAACCTCCCTAGTCGGAGGCAGTCCATCTGATGACAGATGTCAGGAGCAAGGGTGGCTGAATCATCGTGGAATCGTCGTTTAGAAACCAGTGAGAGGAGGTGTGCAGAGAAGGCTCACAGGCTGGGTCTCTTCTCTTGGGTTGGTAAGAGGAAATAGTTGAGAGGTTGTTGACATACACCCAGGTGGTGGTGAGCAAAAATATCTGTACGGAGAAACCGGCCCTGATTTTTCCATTTTACCTGGAAAAGGAACAAGGAAGCAGAAGCCGCGGAGCTGAAACAACGGTAGGTATTATATGGCCAGGTGTGGTATTAAAAAATCTGGTGGTGCAGTGGATGGCCACTTTCTCTTATCCTCTTTATTTCACAACAAGGTGCAGTATCCTAGGTGGCTTGTGTTCCAGGGAGGCACAATTTGAGGTGAGGCGCCCCGATCCAAACATGAGAGTTGGAGTCACCCAGACAGCCCCCTTCCCTGCCATCCACGTGCACACACACACACGTCCTCAGTGTGTTCCTGGCATGCAGTACCGTGGGATCTCTCTGCTTGCGTTTGCACGTGCGGGTGGAGAAGGCACCGTCTCTGTGGCCCTCGCCAAGGTCCTTCAAAAGCATCTTCAGTCCTCCGTAAATTCCAGGTCGAAGGGAGGTGTTTGTCTATTAAAATGTACTCCTGCACTACTGTGCAGGAAAGATACACAAGGGTTAAGTTGTGTGGAATGGGAGACCTCCGGGAGGGGACTGGTAGGGGGACCAGATTTGTGTCATGGGCTGCAAGATGTCCCCAAATGCTTATTCTCATCCAGAAGGAAGGAAGGAAGGGGTTGATGATGGACAGAAGGAGGGAAAGTTGATGGAAGGAAGGTTAAGGAAGAGAAGGAAGGCAGGCAAGCAAGCAAGCAAGCAAGCGAGCGTAATTCCTCCTGTAATGCGAACAGGACCACTCCTGGAGGCCTGTGGGAGCAGAAATGGGTTTTAAAGAAAGCATCTTTAGCAAAAAAAAAAAAGGGGGTTACTTTTTTGCTGGGGGCCTCCAGGATGGTCTTGGGGACTCACAGTAGCCTGGCCTGAAGCCATTTGGTCACCGTCTTTTGCATCTGAAGGGCAACCTCCTTCAGGAAAGCTTCTACCAAATAAAACAGGTTAGCTTTTAAGGGGCCACAAGGTAAAGGTTCCCCTTGACAATTTTTGTCCAGTCGTGTCCGACTCTAGGGGGCGGTATTCATCCCGCTCTTCAAGCCATAGAGCCAGCGTTTTGTCCGAACCCACTCTTTCCATGGTCACATGGCCAGCGCGACCTAGACACAGAACGCTGTTACCTTCCCACCGAAGTGGTCGCTATTTATCTACTTGCATTTGCATGCTTTCGAACCGCTAGGTTGGCGGGAGCTGGGACAAGCGACGGGCGCTCACTCCATCACATGGATTCGATCTTACAACTGTTTGTTCTTCTGACCCTGCAGCACAGGCTTCTGCGGTTTAGCCCGCAGCGCCACCACGTCCCCTAAGGGGCCACAAGACTCCTTGTTAACTTCGAATATTGTCTCTTTCCCATTGAGTTAAAGAAGAAAACCCACATTCCTGATGATTGGGATCCACAGTGCAGATTTCCCAGATAAATAGGATGATTGTGAATATTTGCAGCTGACTGTATACGTTTTCACTGACTCGTTTGTTAAAAATTTATGCGATTAATGGGCTTTCTGGCCGGAAACAAATGGGATAATTCTTGTCTGGTTTGGGGACTGAAGTGACCTTAAACAGGAAGGGACGTGTTTTAACGCTGGCTTTTTGCCCAATAGGTTTGATTGGCAAGATTGTTAAGAGTAGGAGGTGGGAGGAGAGGAGAAGGCTTGAGCGTAAGATGGATGGACTCGGGAAGCGTGACTTTGCAAGACCTGAGCGGACCTTTGACAGACAAGACCCTTTGGAGGCCTTTAATTCATAGGACTGCCATAAGTTGAACGGGACTCGAGAGCGTATCCTAGAATGAATTTATTATTAGTTTTTAAGTTGCTGCAAGAGCCTTGTTTTCACTGAAAGTAAGAGTAGCTGTTCCCATCGAAAGAAAGAAAGAAAAATCCAAACTATATAGGTTTGAATTCTTTTTCCAGAGTCTGCATTATCTTACGTCTCTCTTTTTAAAAACGTCCTCATTTCAAAACACTGCTCCACAAACCCTATTGATCTTCTTCCCGTTTTTTAAAAAAAATATTATTATTAATAAAATCAATCCGTGCTTATTAAACATCATGATACATGGATTCAGCTTATGTTCATTTATTAAATGAATTTAAGGCCTGATTGCTACACCGCATTTTTAACCATTCATAGAACAGAGTCCACCCGTTTGAACATACTCTGAATCTTCCTTCTCTTTAATTTTCCATGTAAGTCTGTCCACTTCCAGTATTTGTCTTTATTGACTAAACTATATGGTCATGCCTGGCTTTTTGGTCTTTTTGCATTGGGGGCCCTACTGATTTCCATCCTTCGCCCACCAGTTCTGCTTATGACTCCGAACAGGACATGCCTTAGCTCATATGTTCATTAGCTTATCTTTGGCAGCCTCTTTATGTCAATCACCCAACTGTTGTGTGTTAATGACCACACTCCATGCCTTCTTTGCATTTCAGTTCTCTTGAATCCCCCAGGAGCAGATGGGATAATCTTCCAGTTAAGACAGCCCTGGGGCTAGCCTGCAAGAACTTATATCAAATAAAGTCCCCCTCTTAGGTCTGAGAAAGTGGACTTGTCCACGAAAGCTCATATTAAAATATAATGATTAATCTTCAAGGTGCCACAACATCGTGGTCTTCTTTATCTCTCCCCCCCCCCCCCCAATCTTTTGTTTTTTACCTGATCTGCTAGCACAGACTAACATGGCTACTTCTTCTAAACCATCAAATAACGTGTTTTTAGAGAGTCTAGGCGTTCGTGACCTTTTCTGTAACAACGGACAGAGCTCCTTCCTTGGAAATATTGACCACGCTTCTGTGGGCGGGCGGGTGATCTGCATTTTAGGGGCACATCTTTCTCTGAATGATTTTTGGGTGGGTGTTAAATAGGGTTTGTGGCCCACCGAGGTCTGGGAACGGCCAACAAACAGCTCCTGCCCTTTGCAAATATATTTGAGTATTGGAAGGGTCGCCTTCTTTTTTTAACTGATGTTTTGATTTATCCTTATGGCTATTTTTTTATGTTGATTTTTTTAAAAGTTTCTAACGTCGTCCAGAATTAGTGACTTGCCGCCAGATGGGTGAGGTAGAAATCTAATAAAATAATATGAAACCAACAAATCAATAAAATGTCTTGACCCAGATGTCCGCCAGCTCAACTGCATTGGTTTCCCCCCCCCCCTTTTAGAATCTGTTCAGCAAGGGTACCTCTGTGCTCACTGCTGCATGCGTTTGGTTTCTCTCCTCATTCGTCTATTAACCAACACATACCATCAAATCAATTCCAATTCATAGTGACCCTTTCCAGAATTTTCTAGGTAGACAATATTCCAAAGTGGTTTCTTATTCCCTTCTTCTGGCGGAAATTTGGAATGGTGCAGCTGGCCCAAGGCCACCCAGGCTGGCTCTTCTCCAAGGAGACCCAGTGGGGATTTGAACTCTTGCTCCGTGGCCACAGACTTGACTCACTGACTTATCCAGCCTGCTCCTTGCTCCATCTAGAACCAGGCTGTTTGAAGGTTCCGGATCGTGTGCAAGAGATTGCTTTGCCTTTCCAGGTTGTAAGATCAGGACGGTCTGTATCTTCTGCCTTGGGACGCTCTCTTTGTTTGTTTTCAGATTCTAAGCAGAGTCAGCAAAATTGCTTAAGAATACCAGCAGTTTTCAGATAGGGCTAGGACAGGACACGATCCTGCCAGAAGCCCCAAGAACTGCTGCTTTCAGACACAAGTGGGTAGCGGGACCAACGGCAGCCACTAAGTAACAATGAGAAGGGCTTACTGTATGTTTGTGCGTTGTGGCAAAGCTAACCACAAATAGTGGCACCTTAGAAGATGTTTTATAAGGGTCTCGGTGCATGGAAGCTCACAATGAGATAGATTTTTTTGGTTCTCTGCAAGACTCTTTGTTTTTATAAGACACACACTTTTTTCTGGTTTTCCTAGGAAATCATGATTCATCATTGGCGATTTAGCAGCACCGTGGGAAAAATAAATCAACCAAACGGAAACACGAGATGTGCAATTTCAGAAAACATTTTGTTTTGAGACAGATATCGGCATGACAGTGTTACTGTTCCTGAGTGACAAAGGAGATAATTTTAGCTGTTTTCTCTGCTTACTCCAACTCTTGCTTTCTGATTTGTTTCAAAAATAACGAACGTGCCATCTTCTGAGTCTGGTGCCTCTTCCGTTTTATCCTCAGTACAACCCTTTGAGGTAGGTCAGCCTGAGAAGAAGTTACCGGTGCGTGCCTGAAGAAGTGGATTTTAACCACGAAAGCTTGCACTGATCGTTTGATATATATATTTTTAAGTGATCTAAAAAGGAGTCACCCTCTCCTGCATTTGTGGGAGTCCGTCCATTTTGTGCCTGAATGATGATTTGAATGGGCATTCTGAGTCCCAGCCTGGTCTTTTGCTGTTCGTTTTCTTGAAAAATTTGCACCAAACAACACCTTTCTCATTAGCTCTGCGTTCGATAAAGAGGTTTTCTCTTTGGAGTTTGGGTCCCAGATCCTTTTATAAAAAGCCCGTTGGCATCTGTCTGAGATCTCACCCTAAGCCCCCTCTCCTCTTTTTTTGGAAAGCTCTGCCTTCAGGCGTTGCCCAGGTACCCAAATATTTTATTGAGCAGAAATTGCTTAACTCAAGTTTGGTAGGAAGTGGAAACCGAAACCAACGGGGTCCTTGCTTGCTTGCTTTCTTGCTTTTTTAAGTATTGCCGTGACAGCGGAAGTGTCAGCATATGCCAGCTGTGACTGCTCCTCCTCGCTACAGAAGGGCACCCTCGGCCGACAACTCTTCGAGTGTGTGTGTGCGTGTTTTGTCACACTTTAATGCAGAAGAGGGCTTGTGCGTTCTGGTTGTGGAAACACCGTATCCGGATGCCATGCAAGTGCTCAGGAGGTAGCCTGGCAGTCTCCAGGAGCTGAGTGGCTATCCAGGCTCAAGATTTGGCCATTTTTCTCCCCGCACCCCAAGGTAAAGGACAAATGGGTTCTTCTCATGTTTTCTTCTCTCCCGTCAGCGATTTCTCTCCTGCACTGAAGACATTTTGCTGAAATGTCTTCCTGCCAGCCAGCTGGCCGGCTTCTGCTGCTTGCAGGATGTGGGTGGCTTTGCATCCTGCTGGTGAATCAACTGTGGAATGGATGATCTCTGGCAGAATGCAGTCAACTTCATCCATTCCTTGATCTTTTTATCCGTTGCCCGGTCAGGATCGCGCTCTCGGCAGCCAGGAGACGTCTGTATATGTCTCAGAAAATTAAAAAGTTCCCCTTTTTTTTGGAGCCCAGAATAGCTGTAGTCTGAAGACAGAATTTCTCTGTGGTTGGGACCAACCATACGAATGGGCCTCTGTGGAAACCCTCCGTCTTGCCGTTGGGGTGTCGGTTTAAGAGAGGGGTGGGTTTACTTGCCTTTGACCCTGGGCAAGCCGAGACCTGTCCAGATCACCCTGTTCAGCTATGCCAGGACAGCCCAGCAGATGTGCTTGGTGGAGAGACTCTTAGCTCTTGAGCGCATGAACTCTTGATGTTGGTTTTATATCTGTATATCTATATAGATTTCATTTTTTTCACTCAACCATGCAGACATGTCTGAGTTTGGTCAAAGAACTCTAGGATGTGGGAGCGACCCTGTTTCCTCAGAGGTTGGTCTCTTGGCCAGCCGTCTGATTTTTTGCTTGCAGGAATGGTCATCTTCCACCACATTGGGTGGTTGTTACCAACTGCAAAATACAGTGCAATATTATCAATGCTAATTCTGATACACCACTTTGCAAATAATTGCATGAAGAGAAAACCTGGAAATATTTTTCTTGCCACTTTGGATTTATACTGCCTGAAACTGGAAGAATCCTGTCAAAATGGCTCTGGAAAGGCTCTGGAAATGCTCTTAAAAAATAAATTTTAAAAGTAACTGGATAACTTTGCTTATTGTTCCTGAAAGTAACTTTGTCACTACTACTTTGTCACTCTGTTATAACTTTCAGGAAGTTACAGTAGAAGTTACAGTAGTTACTTTTACTGTAACTCAGTAACTACTCGTTGCATTGCTTATTACCTGAAAGAAAACTTTAAAAACTGCCACAGATAACTAGTTACTTTCCAGCCCTGAGCTTCCTTTGTACACCATCTATGAAAACAGCTACACACCCACTGAAGTTACTAACCCACCTGTATACCTGAAATACTATAAATGAGTTATGGCATTCAGCAGGTCTGTAAGAGGAAAAGATATGTGGGAGTCTATACCTGGTCGCCTTGAGAAGGTATTGATTGATCATAGGTGATTAGGCAATGGAGGGGGGGTTACTCGTGTGTGTTAATGGTAACACATGTTCCAGAATTGTGGCAATGTCCCTCTGTCCAGTTTTTCCTGGTGGTATGACCTCACGCTGTTCTGTCTTCCTTATCTGCCTTTGCACGGTGTGTGCAAAGGCAGATAGTTAAAATAATGGTTGAGGGGGGAGACCCACATCTGCTGAGAAGGTCCGTGGAGGTTGTTTCCTGCAGCCTTTATCATTGCCTGCAAAAATGGATATGGTTGGTGTGCCAAAATGTGCAGCCTGGACGATTCTGAATTGCCACCCATGGCCGGTAATGCAAATAACTTCTATATGGCCTGGTTAGCACTTTTAAAATGTGGAATATAAGCATTCGGAGTTTATAGTTGGAGATGGCCTCAGAATCTTGGGAGTCTTCAGGAGGAAAGTAATATTATTGAGGCCCAGATAGATGAATTCTTCTTGGCAGGCGGGTAGAATGTGAAAAGCAATGTCATTATTGCACATGCTGTGTTCTGGGAATCTTGGGCCAAAAATAAGGCTTGGGCCAAAATTAAGGAAAAGAGGAGAAAAATATATGCACACACCCTAAACTCCTTTGTGATAACAGCGTAGTGAAGCAGAGTTGCTAACTGAAATCAAATTGAATAATAGGAATGCTTTAAAAAGACAGGTGTGTTTTTACTCTGGCAGGAATCAACTCTTTTTAGGTACCTGGAGAGAGAGGGGGGGAACCACAAACTGACACAATAAATTGGATTTTATATTGCATAGGGTTTACTGAAAGATCGTAGTTTTGAATTGTGGTGCTGGAGGAGACTCTTGAGAGTCCCTTGGATTGCAAGGAGAACAAACCTATCAATTCTGAAGGAAATCAACCCTGAGTGCTCCCTGGAAGGAGAGATCCTGAAGCTGAGGCTCCAGTACTTTGGCCATCTCATGAGAAGAGAAGACTCCCTGGAAAAGAACGTGATGCTGGGAAAGTGTGAAGGCAAGAGGAGAAGGGGACGACAGAGGATGGGATGGCTGGACAGTGTCATCGAAGCGACCGACATGAATTTGACCCAACTCTGGGAGGCAGTGGAAGACAGGAGGGCCTGGCATGATCTGGTCCATGGGGTCACGAAGAGTTGGACACAACTTAAGGACTAAACAACAAATATTTTCCTGCAGGAAAGGAGGTAACCAGAGTCTTTCAGACTCAAATCAAGTCCGCTCAACAATGGAAAAGTAAGGGAATTACCATTACAAGGGAACAGATCATAACAAACATGAGAAAGAATATTGAGAAGTTTCCTTGTCAGGGACAGTTTGACCAGCAACACTATCCAGCTGGGTTAATAGCATGTGATTTATGGAGAAACGTATGTGTGTTAAAATCACTGGCAAAGCCTTGCGAATACAACGTGTACCATAGAGATATGAAAACAAGCCTTTTTCTCACCGGTCACGCTAAGCGTTACAATTCCAGTTGTTATCATGCCGTGACTGCTTAGTCTGGGGCTTTGTCGCCCTTGTATTTCCTGTTATCTGGTTTCTCCTCTAGACTAGCTGGAGGCAATGCTTTTGACCTTGCACATTTTCAAAAGAGACTTTGTTATGCTAGCCTCTTACGGCATTTAGATTTAAAGACAGGCGTGTATCGAATATATAAATAATATATGTATTGGGGTGGAAAGATGGGGAAATTATATTTTTCCTACTGGAATAACAGAGAAGTTGCTTTGCAGCTGTTGGTGAGCTCTGAATGGAGACGTGGATTTGTTGGTCTTGGGTTCGAATTGCACTTTCCAACCATTGCTTTCACTGTGTGCTGAATGCCCAGATAATTTTGTTGTCCTTGTTACTTGCCTGAAGGTCCTAATTCTTCGGCAAGAGAACATGGGGGGTTTGTGCAATGTTTAGTGTGAAATTAATGAACATCACTTAATTTAGCAAGTTTGGTTCTGTGAGCTCAGGACTCAATCAAGATAAGGGCTTTCTACTACATGTGCTAAATTGTCACACAACACTAGGGGAGTTGCATCGTCAGCAGTTACTACTGTTAGAGATTATTCTTCCGCATGGATTTGACGAGGAACATATACTTTTGTTTTGCATGACTGTTTGTCTTCATGCTTTGTACACGCAAAGAATTCAGCAGGTCCCTTCCAGCCGAAGGAAGCCCTTCCTAGGTCTGAAGTCGTTCCTGTCTTAATAATTCCTTTTGTCCGTATAGTGTTGCTAACCTCCTTGTTAGATTTTGATGATAATCCTGTAGACACGTACCTGGGAGACACCCCTTCCGGAAGTGAGCAAGACTTGCTTCCGAACAGATATACAAAGGGTTGGACTCTGTGGATATGACTTGTGTGTGCACGCATGCATGTGTGTGTTTTCTTGCTTGAAGTGCTGGGCTGGAGAGCTCAGGGGTTTAGAGTCTCTGGCTGCGGAGCCAGAAGGTTGGGAGTTCGATTCCCCCACTGGGCCTCCTGGACAGGGGCTGATCTTGATGATCCACAGGGTCCTTCCCAGTTCTACAGGTCTAAGATGATTATTTGAAAACCTGGTAGATAGCTCTGTGGGTCAACTGTTGGGCTGCAGAACCGAAGGTTGGGCGTTCGATTCCCCACGGGGCCTTCAACTGTAGGGCTGCATTCGATTCCCCCGGAGCCTCCTTGGGGGGCTGGGCCCGATGATCCATAGGATCCCTTCCGGCCGTACTGTTCTAAGATGATGATGATGATTAATAATAAAGACAGGAGGTATTTCTGTGCGTAAAACCTAGCTTTTGCAGAGGTGGCTCAGTTGTTTTCTAAGTTAATTTGGAGTGCAACTCAAACCCCTAGGAATTTTGTCCAAGGGCAAGATTACAGCTGGCTTGCAGAGAACCCGAGAACCCTCAGTGTCCTGTAACAGAGGCTGCTTTCTCTGTGCTTCCCAGTCTCTGA